AAAAAAAAAAAGCTGAGATCCAGGAACTACAGTGCCCCCATCAGAGAAAACCTGAGCTCCCCACTTGCAAACCTGAAGGTTTACACGGAGACTTCTCTCTTATCCTTGTCAATGTTGCTGTCCTGAGGCCTTAATTTTGGCACTGCAGATGTTTTCCAAACAGCTTCCCATTGCCAACCAAAACTTCCTGGAAAGCTGATGGACCGTCACAAAAGTCAGAGAATTGTTGGTGGGTACCACTGTGCTTTCAGTCTGCAATCACCCTCCGCTTCAGCACATCAAGTGCTGACAGGTATCTGAATAAGCCCAGCTTCTTCAGGCCTCTGAAGCCTGCACAGTCTTCACATCAGCTTGATGAACTTCTACTTATACATCAAAACCCAGTTTGGTTTATTTTTCTTCCATAGAACAGTGCTAGATGTAGTCTGTGAGGTGGTTTTTTTTTTTTCCCCCTGCACCAGGATCTCTGTTATTCTGTGGACCTCCAGATGGCAGAGGCTAGATCTTACTTACGTTTGTCTCCCTAATATCACACTTGGGTCCCACTAGGGACAGGAATTGCATGAATGAATGAAAGTCCTATTCAGTTCCTTTTACTCCTGGGGCACAGATCTCTAGCTAGATGAACCAACACTTACTTAGAGAGGCTGAGAAGGTGGCTTTCATTCATTCAGTGAACAGAGGTTGGCGGGGCACTGGGGACTTAATGGTGGGCACAACAGACATGGTCCAAGTCGAAAGCCACGTTAACTGAACCATCGGGCAAGCACAGGCATTATTAAGGTGTCATGATGGGAGGATGCCCGGCCCCCAGAGGACATGTTGGGGGGCTCTGTCCTAGACTGCGTGGTCAAGGGACAGCTTCTCTGTGGAAGTGGCCTCTGAGCCAGACCCATAGGGGAAGTCAGATGACTTACTAGTAGAGCAAGCAGCAAAGAGCAGGTCAGGGAAGTAAACATGGCACAGGGGCGGTGGCAGGAGGGATCGGGCATTTGGATGGACACCAGGCTGAAACCCACAGGTGGGAGGTCAGGCTGCAGGGGTCGGATCTTCCGGTTCATCACAGGGAGTGTGGGCGTGGCCCCACCAGCACAGGGGCTCCCAGCCTTTGAGGCAGGGAGGCCAGAATTGTGTGTGGTGAGGTCAGGTGGGTGCCCTAAGCCCTACCATTACCTGGCTACTGCTGCGCTGGGTTTGCTCACCGGCTCCCTCTTCTATAGGATGCAGAAGGAGGAGGTTGAGCTGGGTGTGGAGGAGATTTGGTGGGGACTAGACTCAGCTGTCCGACCCGGCAGGCCGGGACACAGCCAGAAGGGGCACAGGGGTAGGCAGGGACCCAAGGCCTGGATTCTGGGCTGTACCAGTGCCCCCCTCGGCCACAGCTGGGCGGCACTGGGCTCCACTTTACCTTGCCCACGTACAGGGGCTCGGTGCCCGTGTACTCCTCCACCACGAAGAACTGGTTCCACACCCAGCCACGCTTCACGCGGCCCGTGCCAGGCGTGCCGTCCAGCCGAGCCCCGGGCACCGAAGACGACGACAAGGGGGCGGGCGTCCCTGCGGCCCACAGACGCCCGGGCAGCGGAGGCGGCGGCAGGAGCAGCAGCAGCAGCAGAGCGGGAGACAGCGCGGCTCCCGCCCGGAGCGCCCTTCCGTCGGGCCGCGGCCTCATGCTTGGCCTGAGCGGCGCCGCGCCCCGGAGCACGGACGGCAGGCACCAGGGCGCAGCGGCTCGGTCGCACGTCGGAGCGGCGCCGCGTCACATGGTGGCCTCCGCGCGGCCGCCAGGACGCCGCCCCCGACGAGGGGGCACCCGGACGGGCCCGCGGCTCTGCACGCCGCCCAGCCGCGGGGGCGCCCGGCTGGAGGGGGAGGGGCGCGGCCGCAGCGGGGCATGGACAGTCGCGGGGTCCCTGCCCGCGCCCCCTCGCCGCGCCCCCGGCGGCGGATCACCAGACAGCTCCGCTGCAGCTTCCGAGCGTGCTGTGCGTCATGGTCCCTGCGCAGAGGTGGGCTGCGGACCAGTTGCTCCTTCGATCCTTGAGGATTAGGGGTCGTCAAGATCCATCCAGAGCCTGCAGCCTGCGGAGAAAGGAGACAGCATCCGAGGGAGTGCTTTGTCTGACAGGGCTGGGTGAGACTGTCTTTTATCCTGTAGGCACGAATTAGGCTCCGCCTGGATGCTTGGCACTGTGCGGGATGGGACAGATGCCACAGTGACCTCTGCTTTCTTGGGGGCTTCTCAGGCTCACCCCAGCCGCAGGTCCTTGCTGTCAGTGCCCTGCGCGCACCCTCATCCTTTCTCCCCTTTTCTTCTTCCTCCTATCTCCCAGGCCCCTCTTTCAGTCACTGCCCTATGGCCACCACAGGACCAGGGACCTCAGGAGCTGTCTTCTTGTCCCTGGCTGACACTTCTGGCTCAGTCCGGCCAGAAATCCCCTACCCTGGTATCTTCTAGAAGGGGCTTTCAACATCCCAGGAGACCCAGGGCCAGAATGCAGAAAACAGCTCCCACCCTGCCACCCCCACTTCTTGTCCTCAGCAGCAGCACAGACAAGGCTTTCCCCCACCTCCTGTCCACGGTCCCCTTTTTGGGCTGCAGCATTGTGGTACCAGAGAACCTTGCCTGGAAGTGGCCTGTGTGACACTGGCAGAGGTACAAGCCATCTAAGCTTGCTCTGGTATCTCATTTCCCCAGGGGCACCTCTCCTCTCCCATTGGACCAGCACTGTGTCCGAGATCCATCCATTTCTCCTGCCCACCCCCAGCAGCTCCTGCTTTCAACAAGAAAGGATCTGAGGGACTCACACCTACTCAAGCCCTAATGATGAATAATGGCTTAATGTGGGTGTTTACAGGGGCTGGCCACGCACTGGCTCTCACGCTGTCAGAAGAGAGTGAGAGCAGGTGAAGGGCTCAGCCCCTCTCTTCCTCCCCATGCCCAGTGCCCAGTTGTCTCGGCCCAGTTGAACAGCTCTGTTCCACGTGCCAGGCTTGGCCTGGATGCTGGGAGCAAAGGTAAATGAGCCCACGTTCAGTGGAGTGGAAGATGAGACTGCCACTTGTAACCAAACCTCAGGTAGTGTCTGACCTGCTAGTAGGGTGTGTGTGTATGCGCATGTGTGTGTCTGAGGACCGCTTGATCTGGGGGTCTCTAGAGGAGGGGGAGAAAGGGGTGGGCATCCCAGAGAGGAGTAGGCAGTGGATGGGAGTGGCTGGCTAATTTAGGGAGCTACAGTGGGAACATGGACATGTGGCTGGGCAGAGTGGGGGGGAGGGGCTGACCTGTCTGGGTGGGCTTTGTGAGGACACGGGAAGTGGCCTGGAGTCCAGTTCTCAAAACCAAAATTCTGAAGGTTGGCACTCTACCCATTTTGGGAGCAGCTGACTCCCCTGTGCTTTCTCCCAGTTCTTTATGGAAGGGGTTTCGGGGTAGGCAGCGCTGTGTGAAGGCGAGGGGGATGGAGAGGGGTTGAAGCTGCATTCCTGGCTGACAGCCCTGTGGGAAGCAGCCAGCCCATAAGGGATGGAGGGGGTCGGCCAAGAGCAAACTGTCCCCTCTGTCCCTCTGGGCCCTATTCTGTCATAATTAGGGTTAGGAGGATCCAGGGCCCTACTGAGTACCTCAGCACCTCACATCAGCTCCTCCCCCATTCTCCTTGATGGCCCTGCTCTGCAAACCTGCAATCCCCAAGTGTGCTGCTGCCTCAGGGTGACTGGGCTCTAAGTCCCCACACGATGGGCTGGGCTGGTCGTAACAAGGCTGGAGTTATGGCAGGAGGAGACACGCTCCAAACCTTCATTTCCTGGAGCTTATGACTTCCCTGCACGCGCGTACCGGGAACAGCTCCCCTGGCTCCACAGCCCTGTTCTGGGTTCTGGGGCTGCACAACCTGCAGGGATGTGGAGGGGAGGGCTAAAGGAGGGGTGTTATAGAGAGGTGGTACTACCTTTGGGGAGGTGGGCCAAGGGAACCCCCTTGTCCCCAGGCATCTGACCTTACTCTGCCACTGTTCTCCCTCCTGTCTTTTCTTTGTTTACAATGCCTTTTCCAGGGGAACAGGCCACAGTGGGATTCAATCTTTCATTCACCAGCTGAAAATGCAAGCATGGAGACAGAAAGGCCTTCCTTCATTCCTTCATTTCTTCCTCCCTCCCTCCCTCCCTCCCTCCCTTCTTTCCTTCCTTCGTTCATTCACTCCTTCACGTACTTTTAGCATCATTTCTCTGTTTAAGACAGCAAGACAAAATTAGGAGAGAGAGGCATTCTTTTCCTGGTTGTTCACTTACTCTCCACAAATATTTACCAGCGGTTCCCTGATGCCAGCCCTCGTGCTGGGCACTGGGGAGGTAGCAATAAACAAAGAAGAGCCTGGGCCTGGTGGAACTGTCCTGGTGGGAGAGACGGATGGCAAAGAGGTGAATCTACAAGGTGGTTTCAGGGGGATGCTGAACATTAAGAAATTAGGCAGGAAACAGGGAAAGGAGTGACAGGAGAAAGGGTAGGGGTGTGTGACAGAGGAGGGGGCATCAGTGAGTGGGCCTCTGGCTGAGTCTGGAAGGGCGACTGGAACCCGGCAGGAAGCAGCTTCCCAGGGGCAGCGTGTGCAAAGGTCCAAGTGGAGCCCACGGAGGTGCCCAGGGCACTGAGGCACAGGGCGCTCGGTGAGAGTCTGGGCTGTCAGGAGGTGACAGCCACTCTGCGGAGGCTGCCCAGGGCAGAGGCTGAAGTCCAATTCCCCCTTCTGGGAAGAGTCTGAGAGTATTGTTCATGATTGCATAGGCCCCCTAGAGCCTGTAACCTGAGGGAGACTTTGGGGGAGTGGGAAAGGCCCCCAGGGGATGTGGCCCACTGAAGCATGCGCTGGGGAGGACAAGGCTGCCCCCTGGTGCAGGGCACAAGCTGCCTTCCTGCTTGAGGGGCAGCAGGGCCCTCACAGCTTCCCCTCTCTCTCCCCACCTGGGTCTTTCTACCTCTGCTGCCAGGTTCCCCCTCAGGCGGTTGGCCTGGCTCCCTGGCTGCCTGCCAACTCTTCACTACTCTGCACAGGCTGCCAAGGCTGCCGCAGACGCTCCAGCCTCCTCCTCTTCCCTCTCCTCCTCGCCTGTTCCAGTCGCTGTTCCTGGGTGGACCCTGCTCTGCGTTCAGTCTGTCCAGGGAGGGGGAGCTGGGGAGGCCTGGGGCTGTGTCCAGCTCTCCAGGGACCCTGTGAGACATTGCATGTGGCAGTGGCCTTCTGGTACTGCATGTCTCCACCTACTGCACAGAGCAGTTGACTCCTCGTGGGATGAAGAACCAAGTCCTGGCCTGGATCACTTAGGGCTGGTGCTGCCCTAGCCGTTCTGCAGCCACCCCTCCTCAAATTCCTCCTTCTCCTTCTGTGGTTCCCAGGTGCAGTGAACAGTGTCTGTGGTCACGTGTGTCAGACAGCGACAGTTTTCTGCACATCCACTGACTCTGAGGTCCCACTCTGTTGTTCTGGGCACAGGGAAAATAAACAGGTGGGGGTTTTGCCCTTGCAAGTTGGGGGGACACAGACAGTAGGCAAATGGCCTGCCTGCGGTAGCTTGCATGTGGTGGCTTTTCCCTCTGAAACTCCCGCTGAAAGCTGGTGGTCCTTGTAGAGGTGCTGGAAGGCAGGGCCCTTAGGGAGCAAGTAGGTCACAGGAGGAATGAATCCAGTCCCTAGAGAGGAACCAGCTTAGCACCACGAGGACAGGTGGTCAGAGATGGAGGGAGCCGCTCTGCCATGTTCTGCCTGTTTTGTACGTGCTTGAGTTCCCTGTCTCTCCCTTCTGTGCTGGGATGCTCTCACCAGGACCTGCTGCTGTGTCTTTGGGCGTTACAGCTTCTAGGATTGTGAGGCAAGATAAACTTTTCTTCATAAACTACTCAGTCTCAGATATTCGGTTACAGTACAAGAAGGCCAACTAAGGTAATGTTATAAAGACAAAAACAAAGCCAATTAAGAGGTGGCAGAATTTTTTTAACCTGTGTATTTATGTATTGTTATAAATGATTATTTATACAAGGTGCCTTAGCATTAAAATAGCATAAGCAGAGCTCTGAAAAAAGGGAAGGAAGGAGGGAGAGAGGGAGAGAGAGAGAGAGAGGGAGGGGAGCTGTACATAAAACTGGGAGAAGAGCATTCCAGGCCAAGGGCACAGCGAGTGCAAAGGTCCTGAGGTCAGCACGCATTTGGGGTGAACACTGCCAGCACTGCTGAAGTGGGCAGCAGGAGATGGAGGTCAGAGAGATATGGAAATGGGGTCCCAGCCTTCAGGGTTTTTCGAGTTTTTGCTGGAGTGAGATAAGACCTTTAGAGTTTGAGGAGAGGAGAGATGTGAGCTGATTTACATTTTAGAGGTCACCAAGCAGCTAGCACAGCCATGGAAGAGGTCAAGCACTGACCTGGGTGAGGGTGAGGAGAAAAGGAGGGCAGAGCAAAGAAGCCCAAGGAAGGGGCTGCTGGGCAGGGCGCCTCCTGGAGGCTGGAAGGACCCACTCCCCCAAGCCTGCTATCCAGCTTTTCCAGGGACTAGTCACATCCCCTCCCCCTGTACTCCCAGTTTGCATGATAAATTCCTTGGTCATCCTTGTGATGCGCCCCTTTCAATTGGCCATTGGAGTTGACACCGAGGTCATTGGTGACCTTGACAAAAGTGGCGGCT